CATTTTTTCCTATTTAGTCTAGATATAATAAAGCTCATCTTATTCATTAATGAGAGAAGCAAATAAAAATGAATAAATAAAAAAAAAAACACAAACTGTAACATAATACAAATATAACCTAAAGATTTAACCCCAACAATATACTGATAATATTTTTATCAGTTGTGATGTTACTACGGTTTCCAGTTTAAGGTACATTTATTTTATGCGCAGGTTATAAACAGTTACTGTAAAATACTTTATTTTAGCTTGAATTGGGTGTTTTGTAGGGAATTTATTTTTACTGATTTTTGACGAGTTCAATGTAAAATACAGGACATGGTATGTTCGTTCGATTTTATATTCACTGAATTATTTCTTCAGCGAAAATAGTGAAAATTAATTCCAATCGAAAATAAAGTATTTTACAGTATAACTGTATTTTGTTCAAATTAATAAACAAAGAACTGTGATTGGTAGTATTCCTTCTTTATTTCACCTTCTATTCACTAAGCATGTACATCTATACTACATGTAGTATTCCTTCTTTATTTCACCTTCTATTCACTAAGCATGTACATCTATACTACATGTAGTATTCCTTCTTTATTTCACCTTCTATTCACTAAGCATGTACATCTATACTACATGTAGTATTCCTTCTTTATTTCACCTTCTATTCACTAAGCATGTACATCTATACTACATGTAGTATTCCTTCTTTATTTCACCTTCTATTCACTAAGCATGTACATCTATACTACATGTAGTATTCCTTCTTTATTTCACCTTCTATTCACTAAGCATGTACATCTATACTACATGTAGTATTCCTTCTTTATTTCACCTTCTATTCACTAAGCATGTACATCTATACTACATGTAGTATTCCTTCTTTATTTCACCTTCTATTCACTAAGCATGTACATCTATACTACATGTAGTATTCCTTCTTTATTTCACCTTCTATTCACTAAGCATGTACATCTATACTACATGTATTCAAGGGTACACTATTTCCAGTCGATGCACAATTTTTTTAAAACTGTCATTTAGAGATTAATAAAAAATTACAGTAATAACAAAAATAAACAGTGAATGTATATTGTAAGTTTATGCAAATGATAGTATATGAATAGTAACTAATAGTAACTGAAAAGAAAACCTGAATTGTCCTGCATACATATACCAGTTTGATTGACCTCTTTTTTATGTTAAAAAACATTTTTAAAAGGTATTTGTTATACAGATACACACATAGAATCAAGCTGAAACAAGATTATTTTTTATGCTATAGGCATAAAGAAAACGAGTAGGGTAATTATGAGACATGTTCTGGCAAAACAACTTCACTATTGCACTCTTAAACATTTTATAGCCAAAATAATGTCTGGAGATACTACACACTTGTAGCTGCATGTTTCTTTCTGAGCAGTTTAAAATATGCTAATAAACAGTTCTATTATGTGTTGGTATTTGCATATTTAATCATAGCCCTATAGCCATTCAATCTCACAAGCTTTAATCCTTCTATCGTGCGACACTGTTGTTATGGCAACAGAGGAGAAAAATAACATACTGGTTACTTATTTATAATGGACAATCTTCGTAGTTCTGTAATAATTCAGTCTTCCTGGTTCGTGCAGTGGGTGGTAGTTGTATTGACCATTTAATTTGCTACTGTGTGTTTTCAATATGGACAATGGCATAACATAATGGCAGAGAGCAGAAATAAAAGAGATGATATTATAATGTACAAATGTACAAACTATAAAATTAATATGGGAAAATTGTTGAATCAAGGCACAAAATGCTTAACTCTGTCTTTAATAAGTACTGTTCTGATGGTCACATGTAGCCCTTAAAATATAGCTATATATATATATATATATATATATATATATATATATATATATATATATTGTAGACAATTTACATGTATGAGCAGTGTGCCCTCAGACGTAAAGAATTTTCATGTCAAAATTGAAACTCCTCCCTTCAGAAATCAAGTTGGTTGGGTCCGCTTGGTGGCTGCTAGAGAGAGGTTCTCAAAAAATAAAATAAAAATTGTCTTTAGATGTACCGGTAAATAAAGGGAGCTTATGAAGTCACAAACTAAAATGTTGTGATTTTCTTCGTTTATTCACAAGTTACATAACTATAATATAACGTGTTTTAGATCGCTATATATCAAAGTATAATTTTCTGTTGTGTCATTGTCATGTCGACCAGGGAATGAGTGTAATTAGTTGCATCAAGAAAAATCTCTGTGTCACATCAAATCGGGAGCTTAGGACTGAATTGATCAAATACTTTATCCTTACTGCAAACAGTTTATAAACAACACTAAATGGATTAGACAGTCTAAGTACATTTGTTGGTTGATCTGTGCTTCTATCAATACAATGTATCCTGCATTAATTTAGTTAAAGATGAATTTCAGTCAGTAAAAATCAGAAAATTTTGTAGCAGTAAATATTTTACAGTGACTTTTGCAAAAATGTTTTCCCAAGAATATCATTATATATGATCAAATTGTGCAAGACTTGCATCAACTAGTGTGTGTTAACACAAGGAAGATATCAATGAATTCAGTGGATTAGAAAAATACTTTTAGTGATAAACATGTATTAAGCATGTGCTTCTGGTTTTAATAGTCATCAACATAATTTTTTATCAACCCGTTTAAGCAGACATGCCTTTTTATTGGAAAATTGCTCTGAGAAATATTTTTAACATACATTTTTATTTAACCTTTTTACAAGCCAAAGTCGCCTTTCACAAAATATTACCCACATAATTTTTCCCATATTTTCCTCAAAATTGTTATCAAGACCAGTAGGCAAAGTACGACTCCTCTCAAAATAATTAAGAGATTAAAGAAAGAAATGTTCACCAAAACTGAAGAATACATTAAACTCAGCTATGTATTCGCCCCTCAAAATATATACATATTGATGTACCGGTATATACCTATTTTCAGGAGAGTTGAGAAAAAATGTGAATTCCTGAAACCATATTTGGCTAGTGTCAAATGTGTACCATTATTTGCTATCTGTGTATTTTGCTTTACCTTTTGAATGTCAGAATTTGTCCTGCCAAAATGTTTGCACAAAATTTTGCACATTTTAATTTATTTTACTATAATTCCTGTATTATTTAATTCTATTTTAAATTATCATAATAACCAATGCAAAAGGTCTTGTTCAAAAGTTTTTTTTTAAATTTGTGAAAAGCGACAAAAATTGAAGGTTAAATGATGAATTAACCTCAGAGATATTTAAAAACTATAATCGTCTGTTGTCGCTAACCTCATTTGTCAGCCCTGTAAAATAAATAACATTAGTCGTTAATGAGAATAAACTCATTTACTCCAATGAAAGCTTTGCTCAAGGGTTTTAATTAAATAGGACGATGAATTCAGGTTATTTTCTAAACTGTCTTGCTGATAATAAATTCAGGTTGTTGTTTTCTAGACTGTCTGGCTGCTGATGAATTCAGGTTGTTTTCTAGACTGTCTTGCTGCTGATGAATTCAGGTTGTTTTTTAGACTGTCTGGCTGCTGATAAATTCAGGTTGTTGTTTTGTAAAACTGACTGGCTGCTAATGAATTCAGGTTGCTTTTAAGACTGTCCTGTTGCTGATGAATTCAGGTTGTTTTCTAGACTGTCTGGCTGCTGATGAATTCAGGTTGTTTTCTAGACTGTCTGGCTGCTGATGAATTCAGGTTGTTTTTTAGACTGGCTGGCTGCTGATGAATTCAGGTTGTTTTCTAGACTGTCTTGCTGCTGATGAATTCTAGTTGTTTTCTAGACTGACTGGCTGCTGATGAATTGAGGTTGTTTTCTAGACTGTCTGGCTGCTGATGAATTCAGGTTGTTTTCTAGACTGACTGGCTGCTGATGAATTCAGGTTGTTTTCTAGACTGTCTTGCTGCTGATGAATTCAGGTTGTTTTCTAGACTGTCTGGCTGCTGATGAATTCAGGATGTTTTCTAGACTGTCTGGCTGCTGATAAATTCAGGTTGTTTTCTAGACTGACTGGCTGCTGATGAATTCTAGTTGTTTTCTAGACTGACTTGCTGATGATGAATTCAGGTTGTTTTCTAGACTGTCTTGCTGCTGATGAATTCAGGTTGTTTTCTAGACTGTCTGGCTGCTGATAAATTCAGGTTGTTTTCTAGACTGACTGGCTGCTGATGAATTCTAGTTGTTTTCTAGACTGACTTGCT